GGGGGTCAACAGTGGGATGGCTTCTAATGTCCTGGCCCCACTGGTGGACCTCCTGATGGCACTAGTATTTCTGGCCACTGTGTGATACAGAGTGTTGGACTGGATGGGCCTTTGGCCTGATCCAACATTGGCATCTCTTATGTTCTTATATTCTTATGTTCTTAACTTTGTTCTAGAGAAAGAAATGTTACCTACAGAAATAGAAGCAGATCTGACATGACATATTCATGTAGGTTCATTTAATTTATTGCGAACAGATTAAAAGGTTAACTTGCTACAGCTCCAAGCCCATGTAAAAGAGAAGAAGAAGAGAGGTCCTATAGAAGATGACAAGCACAAGGCAAAAGAAATGGTCAGAGAGGCTCAACACCTAACCAATGAGAAGCTGGGATCAACTTCCAAGTGTACCTGAGCAGAGAATTCTCTTAACCCTTTCCCTCCCAAATCCGCTTGCATGCAGAGTTAACAACATCCAACCAATATGAAACAACAAAATCTCACGCTGGTTACTGTCAACAAGAACATGACTGTGGTAGTGTAAGGATCTAGTGAGCATGGTTACGCTTGACATTTAAAAAATAAATAAATGCTAGTGTTAGTCACGCCTGAGTTTTCCGTTTGTTTCTTCCCCAGGCGTCACCCAGGAGACAGCGTTATTGCAAGGATTACCTTCTGTCGTACATCTCTGTGACTCCCGCCATGGGCATATTGGGGCAGTCCACGAAAAAGATGAAGATCGCCAGCAGACTTGACAGGGTGCAAAACAGACAGAACTTGATGATTCCCGAACAACGGAGCTTAAATTTATTCACAATGAACCCTCCAAGGAACGTGCCTCCGCCTCCAGCAGGAACCACCAGGTAACCTTCCAAAGAGAAAAGAAATAAACAGTCCTGAATGTTGGGATCAAAGGGCATCTCCCTCTTTACAATGTCCATTAAAACAAAACAAAACAAAAAAACTGCTGTGCTTAAGAGGATCCTGAGAAGAGTGCCTGTAGAAAAATGCAACATTGTGGGGTTTCACTGGATGAAACACAGGAGATCAAGGAATGGATCTCCCAGGGTTTTTATATTCAGTTAATATTGGTGTCGTGAAGATTAAACTGCACACACACCCCACATACAGTGCTATAAACCTGACAGGGAAAAGGCAAGCAAGTTTCTTTTCTTCCTACTTGGACTTACAGTAACTTGGAGGTCGGGTCTCTTGGGGAAATGGTATGGAGGGAAGGGATTAATGCCTACAGCACTTTGATTCTGATCCCCCCTGCATCTGCTGCTAAACAAAATGAAAGCCATCAGGGTGTCCAGAATGCAATCCTAAACAGAGTTACGCTCTTGTAACTCGATTGAAGTCCTCACTTAGGATTGATTGCATGGCCAGTCCCGTGCATCTCATCTATAGGAGCCTGTAGGTACATAAACAAGGGTGTGAAAACAAATATCCTCACTTTTATCAGAACAATCCAGCAACAGCTGCTTATCAGAACAATCCAGTCTCCGAGATTACGGACAAGGGGTTCGTAACCAGGTCACAATCCATAATAACTAAAATGGAGAGGGTTATGCTCATCCTTCTAAATTACCCACACTGGACATCCACGGCAGATGATTATAGTACCTAGAGAACCTTCCCAGTTTCCCTTGTGGATAGTCTCACGTTCTTGAGCATTTGTACTGTTCGTTGGGGACAATTTTTGATGCTCTTTGATGACGTCACCTCTGGACATGGAGCTTCTCTCCCCCTCCCCGCTGGACACCAGGTAGGGACCTGGCAACCCTAGCCTGTGAGCAGGGGAAGGATGCACAGTCAGGTAGGGGGACACACAGGTGATTGGGTGGAAAGGGAAGCATGGGGGGGGCTGGTGGTGGGCAGGAGGGGACCACTGTAGCCCCAGGGCCTCCCAAAACCTGGAACCAGGAACATAAATAAACTATTCACAAGCAGTTCTCTTACCAAACAAGGTTGCTGCTTCTGAGGCACTTAAGCTAAACTGGGATTCCAGAAACTTGGGACCAAAGGTGGACATCCCGGCAATGAGTGTGGCCTCCGTTGCTCCAGCTAAGCAGAGGAAGATGAAGGTTGGGTTCTTCAGTAGCAGCAGGGCTGAGCTGCAAGATCCAGAAAACACAGGGGGGGGGGATCATTCAGAAAAATCCATTCAGAAGCATGTCGTGATGGACTCCTCCTCAGTAACAGCCTTGCATTTATTGACTTGTGATCTCTCCAGGGATGTTTTCCTGTTCTGCATCACTCGAATCTCACCTTGGTTGTTCATGGCCACCTGGTTTCTTATTGGAAGCCCCCAGTCTTTCCCTGGCGTGATCTGGTCCATGGGGTCGCAAAGAGTCGGACTCGGCTGTGCGACTGAACAACAACAAAAGTCTTTCCCTCCTTATTTATTTATTGCTTGCTTAGTCATGAAGTTCAGGGCAATGAACATGGAGTTCCTACAAAGTCGTAAGGGTATAATAACTTAAGAAGAACCCTGCAAGTGGATCAGGCCAGTGGTACATCTAGTACCACATCAGCTGGTGGATCAGGCCAGTGGTACGCCTTTCCCCGTACGTTCCCCCAAGAGCACTGAGAGCTGAGTTGCAGAATCGCTTAGTCCCCCCTGGCCCTAGGGACGCTAAGTTAACAGCGACAAGAACTAGGGCGTTTTCCCTAGCTGCATCAGTATGGTGGAATCAGCTCCCAAAAGAAATTTGAGCTCTGCGGGATCTCCGCCAATTCCGTAGAGCGGTAAAGACCGCGCTGTTCCGGCAAGCGTTTAACAGCCCAGGTCACATTGATCATCCTAGCACTTTATAACGGATGGCCGCCATGCTACTGGGATTCAGAGGGTTACTTCCTCTGAATGTGGAGGCTCCCTTTAGTCACCATGGCTAATCTCTCATCCAGACACCATCCAGACAGATCTAGAACTCCTTAGCTTTCTCGTATTTTCTGCATCACATGCCTTCAGACCAGGGGTCATTTCGGGGGGGAACGCGGGGGATCGCAGTTCCCCCGGGTGAGGTGCGGGGGGCGGGGCACACGATGAAGCCCCGCCCCCTGCTTCCGGCCGCTCCGCTTCCGGCCCTCATTCAGCCAGGAGGAGGCAGGAGAAGAGGGAGGGTAAGTTGCTTCCTCCCCGCCTCTCCCCACCCCTGCCTGCCTGGGGCCAGGGAGGGCCTTCGCGGGGCTTCCTCGCACTCCCGCCGGCCCTGCAGGTCCACCACCGGGCCCCTGATGTCAGGGGGTGTGGCATATGCTAATGAGTTATGCTAATGAGTTCCCCTAGCTCTTTTTCTACGAAATGACCCCTGCTTCAGACCATATCCTGGGCTCTCTTTCCTGTCTTGGACCATCTAATATAGATTCTAAGCCAAGGAGTGTCTCATTTATGTGTTTTATGAAGCCAACCTCAGAACCTCTAGGAATGACCTTTGAGGATGAAGGACGAAGGACTGATGTGGTAACAGAAGACCCCCGTAAGTTTACTATGGCCCCGGGCACACGGGCCGGATATCGCAGGGGGGCGTGGCTAATTGCCCTGGCACAGTTTGATACGCAATTATGTGATCAGACGCGCCAGCGGCACAGCATGGGTCCTTCCCTCGGTGCCAGCGGGTAAACGAGGGACCGGAGGGGAATGCCGTGCGCTGGCGCGATCACACCACGGGCGTCTGGAGGCAGCCTGTGACAAACGATTAGTAGTACCTTGGAGGTACTAGTTTTTAAATGCGCATTGTTGGCGGTAAGCCACGGGTACGCTCCACTTCCCAGATGTTGGGGTGTGATCGCGCCTGGATAATCCGCCCACCTTCTGTGCCTCTCCCGTGGCAACTTTGCTGTGTGACCGGGGCCTACGTTTCTTCTCCTTAAAAAAAACCCCAACCTCCCCCCCCACAAAAAACCTAAGGCAATTACATACTACTAAGCCTGACATCAAGACTTGGGTAAAACATTGTCCCAACGAGCTAAACAGAACCCAGAAGCATAAGACATCAAATAAGTCCTTGGATCCTTCAGAATATCTGATGAGGCGATTATGAATGTCTCCTCAGAAAGCAATTCCAGCTGTGACCCTTTCTTCTGTGTACCGAAAGGGCCTTGGGGGAACACAAGATGGTCCCAATTATCCTTTCATCTCTCAGATATTAAGGCCGGCTGAATTTATGCTGACTCAAATGTATGCTGCCTGATTACTTTTGGACCGTACTGAAGCATCTTCTCACACAGCTCCCTGGAAGCCGTTGCCCGGCTCTACCTTCTCAGAAATGGAATTAGAAGTGCAGGATCCGTCCCACAGGGTTCTGTTGCCTCAGCAAGGTGAACCACGTGAGGAGGCCCACTGCCTTCTACGGCCCTTTCAGAAACGCATAAAGGAATATGAACCCTGACGGGGCAGGAGTCTACTCTTCAGTTTCATCCTGACTTGGAACGAAAGCTCCCCTGACCTGCTGCTATGAAAGTAGGGTTGCCAGATCTGGGCTAGCCCTTTCAGAAACGCATACAGGAACATGAACGGGGCAGGAGTCTACTCTTCGGTTTCATCCTGACTTGGAATGAAAGCTCCCCTGACTTGCTCCTATGAAAGTAGGGTTGCCAGATCTGGGCTGGAGATTTTGGGGGAGGAGCCTCAGGAGGACAGGGTTTGGGGAGGGGAGGGACTGAGAGCCAGTTTGGTGTCATGGTTCAGTGCGCGGACTTCCAATGTAAAAGCGACCGAGAAACGTGGTGTAGTGGTTAGAGTGGTGCCATGACTCAGGGGCAGAGCATCTGCTTGGCATGCAGAAGGTCCCAGGTTCAAACCCATCTCCAGCAACGAGACTAATAAGTAGGCGATGTGACAGACTTCGGCTTGAGACCCTGGAGATCCGCTGCCAGTCTGAGTAGGCAATGTGGACCTTCACAGAAGCCAAGGGTCTGATTCAGTATAAGGGATATTCAGGGCTTTTTTTGTAGCAGGAACTCCTTTGCATGTTAGGCCACACACCCTTAAGGTAGCCAATCCTAATGAGTTTCTGCTATTGGGTGTGGCCTATTATGCTAATGAGTTCCGGCTGTTGGGTGTGGCCTATTATGCTAATGAGTTCCGGCTGTTGGGTGTGGCCTATTATGCTAATGAGTTCCGGCTGTTGGGTGTGGCCTATTATGCTAATGAGTTCCGGCTGTTGGGTGTGGCCTATTATGCTAATGAGTTCCGGCTGTTGGGTGTGGCCTATTATGCTAATGAGTTCCGGCTGTTGGGTGTGGCCTATTATGCTAATGAGTTCCTGCTGGGCGTGGCCAACTTGGAAGCCAGCCGGAACTCCGTTCCTGTGTGTTCCTGCCCAAAAATAGCCCTGGCCGGAAATTCATGTGTTTATGTGAGTTCATGAGGGTTGGAGTAGGATCTGAAAGAGCCTGGTTCGAATCTCCATTCTGCCACGGAAGCTTTTGGGTCACCTTGAGCTACTTCCCCACTCTCTCTGAGCCTGTCTTACCTCACAGGGTTATCATTGCGTTCACTAAGGGATGATAACAACAACAACAACAATAGTAGTAGTAATAATAAGAATAATAATTGTAGAAGTAGGTTTTTATACCCCACTTTTCTCTCCCTTAAGGAATCTCAAAGCGGCTTATAGTCACCTTTCCCTCTCCCCACAACGGGCGCCTTGTGAGGCAGGTGGGACTACCTGGCCCAGAGCTGTGTCTGGCCCAGCAGGCTTCCTGTGGAGGAGGAGTGGAGACTCATGCCCGGTTCTCCAGATTAGAATCCACCACTCTTAACCACTACACCACGCTGGCTAGAGGAAAGGGTGAACAATATCATAAGGTTCTTTAGGTCCTCTGCTCCCAGAATCCTCCTCTGCAACATAGAAGAGGTATCTGCAGGCATGTCTATGAGAAGAGGCTTTCTTGAAGCTAGAAAGCATGCAAGCCACTGGGGTGATGGAAGCCGAATTAGCGCCTGGGGGAAAAAAAATTCTGAATAATATTAAGAAGAGATTGGATTTATACCCCACCGTTCACTACCCAAAGGAGTCTCAGAGCGGCTTACAAACTCCTTTCCCTTCCCCTCCCCACAACAGACACCCTGTGAGGTGGGTGGGGCTGAGAGAGCTCTGACAGAAACTGCTCTTTTTCAAGAACAGCTCTGACAGAACTACGGCTTGGCCAAGGTCATCCAGCAGGTGCAAGCGGAGGAGTGGGGAATCAAACCCGGTGCTCCCAGATTAGAGTCCGCGCACTTAACCACTACTCCAAAAAGGAAAATACTCAGCTTTCTCCATATCTGCACTGTTTAGGGTTCCAGCCTGATTAGCCCTTAAATGCTATTTGGGGTGTGTGTGTGAATATTTTGTGTGTGCGTGTGTGTGTGCCTGCGAGGCTGGAAGTCATGGTGACTTTTGGCGACCCCTAGTGGGGCCAGGACATTTCAGAGAGGTGGCCTTGATATTATCTGCCTCTGCATACCTGGCCCTGGTATTCCTTGGAGGTGGCCCTTCCAAGTATTTGCCCCGGTCAGCCCTGCTTAGCTTCTGAGACATGACAAGATTGGGCTTGCCTGGGCTATGCAGGTCAAGGCAGCACTTAAATGCTATTTTTGAATTTAATTTCCTTTCGAGAAAGGAGAGTCGGGTCATAATCTCAGAAAGTGGCACGGGATCAAGAATTTCGCTTAATAACCTGGCTGAAACTCCTTTGGGATAATATTTTTGCAAAAAAAAAATATTTCCCCCTGGCAACCGGTATATGTGGGTCACTCTCCGGCATATGTGTGCTGTCGGGATCAAGAAGTTAAGCAAGCTGAACCGTGCACTGAACTCAGGGCGCGGCCTCAAAGAACCTCACCTTGATCGCAAAACACCTCTTTGTAGATTTTTTTAAAAACCTCAACAACGGTGTGAAGCAGGGTTTCCATGAGGCCATTTTGTTATCAGTTGGGAGGCGAGGATGTTCCCTGCACTGTTCGTGTTTTGCTCCAGAATTTCGCTCCAGTTTGGCGTCAGAGCCAGTTTGGTCCAGTGGTTAGGAGGGCGGACTCTAATCTGTTTGAACTGGGTTTGATTCCCCACTTCTACACATGCAGCTGTTGGTGTGACCTTGGGTCACACAAGTGAGCTGACTGCCAGCGGAGAACTTTGAATCATGGCCGCTACCGTCAAGAATATCAACGACCACTGGCACTTTGTTACGGTTTTAGAAGTGTTTTAATTGTAATTCATATTTTAATGTAACTTGTTCGTTTTGCGTGAGCCGCCCTGAGCCAGCTACGGCCGGGAGGGCAGAGTAGAAATCCGAAATAAATTAAAAATAATTTTAAAAAGTTATTTCAGAGCTGTTCTCTCAAGGGCAGTCCTCGAAAGAGCTCTCTCGGCCCCACCTACGTCACAGGGTGTCTGTGGTGGGAGAGGAGAAGGAGAAGGAGATAGTAAGCCACTCTGAGACTCCTTCGGGTAGTGAAGGGTGAGGTATAAATCCAATCTCTTCTTCTTCTGTTGAAAACTCCTGATTAACAGTTGAATTAGGAGAATGTCTAAAGATAAATCTAGAACTGGGGCACTGGCATTTTGCTGCAGTTTTTAGTTCTCTCCTTGCTATGTTATCAGTGCTCATCTCAGACATAAGTACGACACCATACTTGAATTGTGGTCGCCCTGACCTGGATGGCCCAGCCCAGCCTGATCTCGTCAGATCCCAGAAGCTAAGCAGGGTCGGCCCTGGTGAGCACTTGGATGGGAGACCGTCAAGGAGGTCCAGGGTTGCGACGCAGAGGCAGGCAACGGCAAACCACCTCTATTCAGCTCCTCTCTTGAAAACCCGATGAGGTTCAGTGCTCCCTCTAAGCTGTGGAGTGAGCAAAAATTCTACTTTGTGAGCTACTGGCATCAA